CTTGTGCCTGTGAGTGTGTGCGTGTGCCTGTGAGTGTGTGAGTGTGTGTCTGTGTGCCTGTGAGTGTGTCTGTGTGCCTGTGAGTGTGTGAGTGTGTGTCTGTGAGCGTGTGTGTGTGTCTGTGAGCGTGTGAGTGTGTCTGTGAGTGTGTGAGTGTGTGTGTGAGCGTGTGAGTGTGTCTGTGAGCGTGTGAGTGTGTCTGTGAGCGTGTGAGTGTGTCTGTGAGCGTGTGAGTGTGTCTGTGCGCATGTGAGTGTGTCTGTGCGCGTGTGTCTGAGAGTGAGTGCGTGTGTGTCTGTGTGTGTGTGTCTGTGAGTGTGTGTGCGTGCGTGTGTCTGTGAGTGTGTGTGCGTGTGTCTGTGAGTGTGAGTGTGTGTGCGTGTGTCTGTGAGCGAGTGCGCGTGTCTGTGAGCGAGTGCGCGTGAGCGTGTGCGCGTGTCTGAGTGTGTGCGTGCGCGTGTCTGTGAGCGAGTGAGCGTGTGCGCGTGTGTGTGTCTGTGAGTGTGTGTCCGCGTGCCTGTGAGTGTGTCCGCGTGCCTGTGAGTGTGTCCGCGTGCCTGTGAGTGTGTCCGCGTGCCTGTGAGTGTGTCCGCGTGTCTGTGAGTGTGTCCGTGTGCCTGTGAGTGCGTGTGTGCGTGTGTCTGTGAGTGTGTGTGTGTGTGCGTGAGTCTGTGAGTGTGTGCGCGGGAGTGTGTGTCTGTGAGCGAGTGAGCGTGTGCGCGTGTGTGTGTCTGTGAGTGTGTGTCCGCGTGCCTGTGAGTGTGTCCGCGTGCCTGTGAGTGTGTCCGCGTGCCTGTGAGTGTGTCCGCGTGTCTGTGAGTGTGTCCGTGTGCCTGTGAGTGCGTGTGTGCGTGTGTCTGTGAGTGCGTGTCTGTGTGCGTGAGTCTGTGAGTGTGTGCGCGTGAGTGTGAGCGTGTGCACTTGTCTGTGAGCGTGTGCACTTGTCTGTGAGCATGTGCACTTGCCTGTGAGCGTGTGCGCGTGTCTGTGCGCGCGTGAGTGTGTGTCTGTGAGTGTGTGTGCGTGTGTCTGTGAATGTGTGTGTGAGTGTCTGTGAATGTGTGTGCGCGTGTGTGTGTGTCTGTGAGCGTGTGCGAGTGTCTGTGAGCGTGTGCGAGTGTCTGTGAGCGTGTGTCTGTGAGCGCGTGTCTGTGAGTGTGTGCGTGTGTGAGCGTGTGTCTGTGAGCGTGGGTGTGTGTGAGCGTGT